GAGATATGGTAAATAAACCCAAATGACCCCAGAGGTGGGTTTTTTTCTAAACCTCTCTAAAAAGGTCAAATTTCACTTGTTTTGCATCAATCTTGATACAGGGTACTTATTATAGGAGGCGTGTGGTGCAGTGGGTTGTGCGTTGGTGTTCGGATCAGGGGGTCACAGGTTTAAACCCCACTGCAGTCAGCATGTCGTTGTGTCCCTGAGACACTTCACCCCAAATTGCTCCAGTGGGGATTGCCCACAGTACTGAGTATGTAAGTCTCTTTGGATAAAAGCATCTAACAAGTGACATGTAATGTATTATATGTTATAGTTTTGTCTACTATCCCATCATTCAAGGGTGGTTTTCACTATAAGTAATGGGTTTTTTTTGGACGGAAACTATAATTTTAATTGTTTTACTATGTTCAATCTGAATTTACTTTGAGGCGAGACACCCCAGGTGAATAGGGTACATTTTTTAACTTAAAGGTATCAGCTAGAAATTTCTCCAGTTAATTACTTACAATAAGGCAATTGTCTTTTGTATTACAAGTTTTCTGAAATAGCATGTTTAAATATGCAAATTATCCATTATCTCATTAAATATGCACATATTTTAACACATTTCAGGAATCGAAATCTGAACTTTGGATATAGCCAGATTCAAAATTCTTGTTTCATTTTGTAGTCATATTAGTATCTAAGGCTTTTACAGAAGGGATATTGGATATCTCTTTTTATCACTCCATAAATCAGAAAATACTGTCAACAGCCCTAAAATATCCATTTTCGCCATGTTTTTAGGTATACAATGTTGTATAATTCAGGCTATGAATTATATATGAACAAACCCTTCTGTAAAAGCCTTCATAATATTGATAGGAATATAACTGGAAGGTTTGGTGTATGTACGTGCTACTGAAGTTGAAATTTCGAACTCAGAGTAGGAGAAAAAACTCATTTTGAGAAAACGACCTTTAAAGATTGCAGTGAGGCGCTAGCTAAACCTTCCTGTTCTTTGGATGATAGCTTGCGCATCGACGCACTCCGTGAAGGTATTTCATGTTCAGGGTCATTTTTTTTTTTATAACCTTGCTTCGTGCAAGTGACAATTGTTGTCGTCTTCTCTGTGAACGTTTTTTTCGCCGTTCTTTTGGCATTTTGAGATTTCAATTTCTTGCTGAAAGCTAACCAGGAAGTGTTTTAGCACACCACGTGACGCATCTGAACGAATCACGTTGTCAGAAATTGACACCAGCCAATGAGATTTAGTTTCTTGGTTTAAGACCCCTTTGTGCTTTCACGATTGGTTGCTGATACAAAGGAAATTACCATATTTGGATCCGATGAGATTGTGCAGGAGAGACACAGCTTTCCAACGATACCTCTGTTGACATGGTGCACACAGCGGTCGCGGTACTTTATGTTACGTTAGAATGCTAACTTTTGGTGAATTTAGGAGAAATCTACAGACGCAAATAGACAAACTATAGTAAAATAAACACTTAAATGTGTGTTTTGTACGTTTTCCTTCCAAAAGCCTGAAAGAAAACATGTTATGGAATCAAAATAGCACAAAATCTCAAAATTGACCAGTACTTGAAAAACGATGTTTTTGCCTGCCGTGTCTCGCCTTAAAATAAAAACATCTATATTGATTCTGACTTTTCTACATCCAACTCACAGGTTTATCATTGCTTTGAGAACAAAGATTATTAATGTACCCCTTTTAGAAGTGTTCTGGGCATGTCATTTTCGAGCCTGAAACCTGAAAAACAGGTTAAAGATCTTCTAAATGAGTTAAAGGTCACCTATTATGCAATATCCACTTTTTCATGTATTGTATACATAAATGTGTGTCCCCTCTGTGTAAAGAGTTTCTGAAAGTTTCAGGAAAAAAGACAAGACTCTTTTTGTCCTGATCCATTTCTATAAAAACCTGTCTGAAAATGAGCTGATCAGATGTTGGCCACTTTATGATGTCATAACGTTTTTTTGGCTTGTGTAACCATTAGCCAATCACCAACCACGGTAACCCCCCCCCACCTTATCACCAGATTCTCCTCCTAGAGCACCATTGAGTTATTTTTAACCAAATATCTCTCGGAGGGCCATGGGGAGGGGCTCCTTATTTTCATCTAAAGTAACAGCCAGAGAATCAGCACTTTGGAAACAGGGCTGAAACAGAGGGGATTATGGGATTCTACAATGCACGATCTGCTTGGTATTTGGAGCCAAACACTTCAGAGACATGTTTTGTATATCTGAGACCTATACTATACTGATGAAAAACAGTATAATAGGGGATCTTTAAGTGTAATCAGACAAAACATTACATTTGGTTCATTTTCTATGATTTATTGATGGTAGATCCGATTTACCGTTTTTTTTTTTTCCTATTATGAGACATTTAATGATTGCTCTGTGTCAAAGTGAGGAAGGATTTTGGCTAATGGTGGAAAATCCATCTTAAGTTCTACAGCTTCTTCACTACGAGCTCTTGTACGAGCTCGATGCTTTTTTCAGGTGGATCTACGCTTCTTTCTGAATAGCTTGACAACAAAGAAGCAAGAAGTAAATATAGTTTTATTTCAATGATAAAAAAAAAATACAATCACAATCACTTTACCATTAGCTTTTGAAATATTTAGATTTCAACTGGACTTTAAGGCATTCCTCCCTTACATGACCTACATCTGTGGGTGTGTATTTGATTTCAAAGAGTGGGCTCAAGGTAAAAATAATAGGTGGCTCGGGCACATCAGTTTATTGATCTTACTGATTAATTATAAAGCATATCTCCCTATCTACATCGAACCTATTCGCTGTTAATATATAAACCATCCCACCAGGGCTGCAGCCTAAAGAAACCACTTCTTTCTGGGGCACCCCCAATATGTTGACTAGGTTTAAGACCAGCATAGAGATATAGTAGAAATGACATTCAGGCTACCTGGACCTCTGTTGGGGGTCCAGGGGGGATTCACCCTCGGGAATTTCTTTGATAAACAAGCTCTTTGAAGTTTTTTTTTCACAATTTGTGTGTGGGAATCACACAGAGTCAAAAACCTGCTAATATTCAGACAGGCTGTTGTGTGACGACTATCTCACATTCACACTCACATTACCTTTATTTGTTTCACATCAGCTTACATTTAAAATATATTATAGCCTACATGTTCTCTCAATATACATTGATTGCCTACACATTGACAACGATGATTTCTCATGGGAGAGCCACAATCCTGGAATGGCGTGTTTGGCCCCAAAAGGTCGCCCTTGACGTTGATTTAAGTTACAAAAAAACACAATAGGACAATGAAGGACTCCATATATATGTCTAATGATCTGGATAGAAAAAGGTGCACACACACAGAGAGCTGTAGGACAAATAGAGGAAACACTGATGATGCATAGATGGGTGAATGACAGCAGTGTGTGTAATTGTGTGATAAAGTGACAGCAGACTGAGCTCTTATTTTCCTACATTTAAAGCAAGCCAGCTGATGAGGAACGTACTCCAATTAAAACAGGCACAGAACCATGGAGTGCTCTTAAAATGATGTGTCACAAGGGGGCACACACACACACAATTCCAATTATTTCTGTGTTTGTGCCTTTGTGTGTGACTATCATCCGTTCACATTGTGTCAGTGAACTACTATTTTACTGTTGAGTGCTTTCTAATTATGATAGAGCATGGGCGTACTGAGGCAACACTTTATTTTACCCTCATATGGAAAACACTCGTGTATTGAACGGTACACCATTAACAGCTGATAGCAGTTTGATGGTATACTGTGGAGTTGGTAGTGTTCACATACAGTACAGCGCGGTATGCACTTCCTGTTCAAAGAGCCTCCTCTTTGACAGGCAGTAGCAAAGGCATGTCACTTCTTTAATGTATGCAGAGCTGTGAGGCTGTGAATAGCTGCATTCAGCAACTAGATCAGAAATAGAGACTCTCAGTGAGCGGTGCACAGATTCCAGCTGTCAGAATATCAAGGCGGGTGTTTCTGTCCACCCTTACATTAAAGTCTGTACGCCTTTTGGTGTTGAATTAATTTCCGACTGAGAAAAGTTATAATTAAAACATTTAGTCTTGTTAATCACAATACAAATCTGTGATTAATCATGATTAACGACAAGTTTAAATACCAGTATTTGCTTATTTTTTGGGGGGGAGTTAAAACAAATGCATAACAAATGCATGACAAGCCGGTAAGAGAAATCACAGGGCATATATTCTGAATTATTGGTATGAAGTCTGATCATTTTCCAACCCTTAGCTAAAACATCAAGAAAAGCTGTTGTCCCGAGAGCCACTGAGATCACCCCTCCGTCACACATACAGCTCATGTGGTAGTAAAAACAAGCACATGCTTCAGCAAAGTGCATTTCCTTGGTTTTCACCACACCTAAAGAACGAGTGTAGAAAATATGTGCATAGATAGATTTACACATATTGTAAATGTCATACATGAAGCTTGGTTCAGTTAGCCTACTAACTTAGCATAGAGACTAAATAATAAATACACAAAACATAACAAAACGTTACTGTTTATTTACAGGTTAATACTTGGGGATTGGCATTAAACCAATAGAGGGATGACACTATTCTAAAAGGTTGATAGTTGAATGTGTTGCTTGAATATAATTATATAGTACTGTTTAATAAGTATATAGAATATAAAAGTTTGCATTGGCAGATTCTTGTTGTTAAGCAATTGTGGGTAAATGAACACTTGTTTTACATGTTACTAGGAGAAACAGCAGGATGTTTGTTATTTACACGCACAGACTCCATGTAACCTGTATGTAATATACGGTACATGGTAACATTTGGACGATGAAAACATTGGGCTGGCCAGAGGGCTAGTGGAACATGCACATACAGTGTGTCAGCACTGTATCACATGATAAGTGGGAACATGAGGGTTGCTGCAGGTCACCCCCCCGCTGGCTTCACTTAGCCCCCACTCCCCTCTCACCTCGCTGTGTCCCTCTCACAGGTACTCCATCGACCGGCGCACTGACATGGACCGCCTGTTCAACGTCCACCCAGGGAACGGCTCTGTGTTCCTGCTCAGAACCCTGGACCGGGAGGAGAGCGCCTGGCACAACATCTCCGTCACCGCCACGGAGTTCAGTAAGTCCAGCAGCACCGGGAACACATTCCCTCGAAGCACAGGCAGACACGGTGTCCATTATCATCTGGCCGGGGACAACAGCTGGACATTTAGCAGTGTTTGCTAAAGCTGCCCCATTTACTGTTTGTTGTGACAGTTGATTAATGGGGACTGTCCACGACACTATAAACAAATAAACTAAACTAAACACAAGGGGCTTTTTTTACGGGTTTATTTGAATATTCGTAAATAGCAAAGACAAACAAAACAACATTACCTTCTTCTTGTTTGCTTGTTTACATATGAAAGTTCTTTGACTAACATAAACCTTTCGCAGGGCAATAAAGTGTCCGTGCTTGCTGGTTTCTTGGCGCTGTTACTCTCAACAAATTAGTCTCGTTTTTCACATTATCATTTTTATTATAGTTTGTTAAGCAGTGGATGCTGTTAAAAAAGATATACTGTATTCACAAAACAAAAACTATTTACCACAAACATAAGCAATACCTACAGGTAATAAAAGAAAAAACAAGAAGAGGAGAGAATTTATCATTGTTATCATAGGAGTCACATATCTGAAAGCCTCAAATACAAAAAATAATAAACAACATACTTAACCTTTGTTTTTGTCAAATGTATAACCACAGTTATATCTTATCTCTGGGAGGTTAAACCATCAGCGTCATACAGGGATCTACTGCAATGCCAAGATGTTCAAACTGACTGGCAGTGATGGTGATATTCTGTAGAGTGATTTAACTGGTCTGAAATTCCAAAAATCTCTCTCAGCAAATATCACTTTAACGTATCTCCGTCAGGCTCGAGGACCAGCTGTCCGTGAGGTCCTTCTCGATCTGAGTAGTGTCGGTATACTTTGGAGCGTAAACGAGTTGAAATATGTTTGTGACCCGTCAAAGTTGAATAAATATGCTACCAAAAGGAGGTGGGCAGAACTAAGTCTGGCATACATCGAGAAAACTTCAGTTTTTGTAATGACATTGTTTGTTCCCTTGGCTTAGGCTTTAATTAAAACCTCAGTATTGTACGACATAAATCCTAGTTTCCAGCAGCTTCTCTGTTTCCCAGTTTCTCGCTCAGAATTTCCACTACAGAGGGAATCTGAGCACTGACGAAGAACTCCAACACTTTGAAACTTTCGAAGTATCTAAATGATCATATGTCAACAGAAATACCCTTCAATGCAATACTCCAGGTCTTTATGAAAGAGAGAACAGGAAGAAAAGAAACCGTAGACACACTTTGATTTGAAATAAACTAATTGTGCAGCAGAATTAGGAGACGGCTAAAACTAGGCTCGACACACAACTAGCATTCAAGTTTTCTTTATCATAGTTTCAGTGTGAAGGCACAGTTATGAAAAAGAAACATTAATATGTAATTCAGGCATGAGAATCACTCACCTTTCGGCGAAATTCGCCGTTTTGAATCCAAAATAGGTCGTTTGTGTGATTCATGTAGACCTGCAATACAAATATTTTTGGGGTATGGGGGGGTCTGGGACCCAGAGTAATCTGCGGCCGCGAGCTGTTATGTGCCGTCATGACGTTATGTGTTCTTTTTTTATATATTATAATGCAGCGCGAGCTGTGTGCTCGAGTCTTCCTGCCTGTCGGCTCTGCTGCTCCGCGATGATGGTCTCGCTTCAGCAGCCACATTACCTACGGGTGCGTTCGTTAATATTAACTGTGTGGTCCGGAGTCACTGTGGTACAGACTGGACCGCCGGTGAACAGCTGTTAGAACGGGCCGTTCAGGTGTTCAGAGCAGAGCTCCCTGTCGGAGCGCAGAGCGTGATGTAAACTGAAAAGTTTTTCTGTCGCAATATTATCGTTGGGCAAGCTAGCATACATTGTCACTATCTGCTAACGTTAGCTTTAGCCTTCGTTTTCTAATAGTTTTTCATAGGCTATAAACGGAGGTGGTATAAGTACTCAGATGTTGTACTTGAGTAAAAGTAGAAGTACTCAGATCTTGTACTTTAGTAAAAGTAGAAGTACTCAGATCTTGTACTAGAGTAAAAGTAGAAGTACTCAGATCTTGTACTTGATTAAAAGCAGAAATACTCAGATCTTGTACTTGAGTAAAAGTAGAAGTACTCAGATCTTGTACTTGATTAAAAGTAGAAGTACTCAGATATTGTACTTGATTAAAAGCAGAAATACTCAGATCTTGTACTTGAGTAAAAGTAGAAGTGCTCAGATCTTGTACTTGATTAAAAGCAGAAATACTCAGATCTTGTACTTGAGTAAAAGTAGAAGTACTCAGATCTTGTACTTGAGTAAAAGTAGAAGTACTCAGATCTTGTACTTGAGTAAAAGTAGAAGTACTCAGATCTTGTACTTGAGTAAAAGTAGAAGTACCAGAGTGTAGGAATACTCTGTTACAGTAAAAGTCCTGCATTCAAAATGTTCCTCAAGTGAAAGTAGAAAAGTATTCTCATCAAAATATAGTGAAAGACAGTAAAAGTAGTCGTTGTGCAGATTGGTCCATTTCAGAATAATATATGATATGTTTTATAATGATTGATCATGAAAGTGTTCTCAAAGCTGGTAAAGGTGCAGCTAGTTTGAATGACTTTGTATACTGCGGGGTAGCTGGTGGATTTACTCCAGGTGGAACTAAAGTCTGATTTAACACTTGATTAGATTTCACATCATTCATCCACATCTGTAAAGTAACTAAAGGTATTAATACATGTCAAAGTACACCATTTACCTCTGAACTGTAGAGGAGAAGAAGAACAAAGTAGCAAAACATTGAAATACTTAAATAAAGTACAAGTATCTCAAAATTGTACCCAAGTAGGCTATAGTACTTGAGTTTATGAATGTAGTTACTTTACACCAGATGCCATAAAGATAGAAAGACTAAGCCTTGCACAGAGGCATGACAATAGATTTTCAAAATGCTCAACAGTGCTGCCAAAATGATAAACTGACTGCTACACAATTAAAATAAATGCTTTTATATATTTCTATTAGATGTGACTCTTTAGCGTTTCTGTTATTATTACCTGCTGCTTTAGTTGTTTTGACTGCTAAAATCCTCTGTTCCTCATTTTAAAGCCGATATTCCGTGGGGTCGGGGGGGGCTCGGGTCCTTGTCACCTTTTCCATACCTGATGAGTTTGCATCCCTGATAATACTTAGTAAGGAGGCCATAATATGTTTGACTCATGGCTGAAGTTAAGTTTCTCCAGCTCTCCCCAGGTTGGCAAAAAAATGCATCTCAAAATGAATCAGATTGATGTTTTAAAATATGGAATATTCAAAATGTTCTTCCGGGGGAGCATGCCCCCGGACCCCCCTAGAGGGATAATATCCTTCTCACCTTTTTCACCCTTGACCCGTTTTCATGTCTGGTAATTTACCGGCTGTCGTTATGAACACGTAGCATTGGTAGCTTTCTGCTCACGCTGCGCTGCTAAGTGCCGACACTCTGCTGGACGCTGATGATTCTCTGGCCATGAAAACAGAATCCCTTCAATATCGTTAACTTTTGTCAAATTAATAATTCATGTTTCTAGTTATAGGGTTTGTGATCATGGAGCTCCACAAACAGCTGGACTCAGACACAGTGTGCAATGGAAGCCTGATTGGTTTCCTGGCTCTGTGCAAAACGTGTTTTTCTTCACATGTTAAAAACGTATTTTGCTGTTTTCTTTTCACTTTTCATGGTGTATGTATGACCAAATGGTAAAGACCCAGCATGTGAACCACAGGGAGGCTGATACACTTAGACTAGCGATAATAACTATCAGCCTGTGTCCAGAGGCCCATGAGCAAGGCAATGAGCTGCTCATGATATCTATCAGTAGAAGAGCTGATGTTGTACCAGAGAGTGGAATTGGAGCAGGGTGTTTACTCTCCCTGTGTTTGCCCTTCAGATAACCCTCGTCAGAGCAGCCATGTTCCCGTCTACATCCGACTGCTGGACATCAACGACAACGCCCCCACCTTCGCCACCATTTACGAAACCTTCGTCTGTGAGAGGACCAAGGCTGGCCAGGTACTGATGCTCTATCACTTCTACAGCTCAGACTGTATTTATAATGGAATACAGCAGCTAAGCAACTAAACCTAAAGAGGGCCCTTTAATCACAATCATTTTTTTCAGACAGTGACATTTTGTCTTGGTCTTGGTCGCTCTGGGACTCAGCTACTGCCGCCCTCGCCTTATGACAACACTTAGATGGGCTCATACACACTAACACTTTTCCTGTTTAAGTTGTTGAATTCAAGGACACATGAAACACTACGCTCAATGGTCCTAGGTGAGATGAAGCAGAATGATCATTGAGAAGACGAACAGTCCTCTACAGAAATGATTGGGTAACAATGGGCTGCTGCGTGACATGATTTCAGAGTGAAACACAGCTGCAGAGCCGGAGCAGGTGGCTGTGTGTTTATTGTGCAGGATGTGCTTTTATCAATCACTAATGGGACATGTCAAGAGCAAGAGGCTAACGTGAGCTGCTAATCCCCTTTTATGAGCAGACAAATAACAGCATTTGCATGGAAGCCATTATTACCACACTGAGCCTTTTACTGGGTTTCATGAATATAGGCCAACATCTCTCATGATGTCTCTACTTGGGTTTTTCATCCCTACAATCTGAAAGATTATGTATTTTTTTCTCAGTGATGCTTTGCTTTTGAGAGGTTTTGAGGCTTTAGACGTTTTTTTGTGTTATAAAGCTGATAAACAAACACAAACAACTTTAACTTCACCAGACCTCTGGAATATTTCATACATATATCTGTGAAAATGTCGAATTTGAATTACATAGCACTTAATATAATTGTACTCTGCTGTAATACGACTTGATATGAGTTATCACATACTGTATGTATGGATGCATCTAATGTGATTAAAGCACACAGCGTATGTGCACACACACACACACACACACACACACACACACACACACACACACACACACACACACACACACACACACACTCATGCAGCTGTTCTACTTGAGACCACTTGCTTTCTTCTTTTGTGGTGCTTGTAACCCTAATCTGACAGGAGCTTTAACACACATGAATAGGGTTTTACACACACACACACACACACACACACACACACACACACACACACACACACACACACACACACACACACACACACACACACACACATGCACGCACACACACAAATATACAGATATATCATATATAAATTTGACAATTAATAGGATAAAAACACAAATCTATATATGTAATCCCACACACATACACGCACACAGTATCATGATGATAGTGTGTTGCATGGTGGCATGCAGCCATTGGTCCCTGTCATCCTTTAATTCTTCCACCCTTTCATCCGTCCATCAGTGTTAATCATCAGTGTTTGTTCGCTGGATCTGTTTGCTGCATGTGTGAATGTGCATGTGTGTGTTATAGCAACAAATCTTTGTTAAAGCCGTTAATCTCTCAGATACTGTCTCCCAGTTAATTAAATAAGACTTGAGTTATAAAGTCAGAAATACACGCTGCGTCACTAGCTGTGATCACAGGAACACAGCTCCCATGGTGCCGTGCACTCATCTTCTTATTTCTGTATAAAAGCTCAAAAACAATTAACATTTCTAACTTTTATTTCATTCATTTTATTTAAAACAGATAAATTGAGTTGGGTGGTATCTTTTGTTCAATACTTTTTTTTTAATGTGTTTTAATGTCCTGAACCAAGACATCACAATATCATATTGTTTTTGGTATTAGTACTGACACATAGGTGTAATATTTGTATCAATACCCATCCTTAATGTTGCCTTTTTAACTGGGGTTTGAAGCAATATTCCGTAGTGGCCAAACAGTGGTACTACTATTACTTGCTAATCCGTGACAACATTGGGCCCAGAAATACTTTTCCCCATTGACTTACATTGGTAAAGAGACGTCAGTAAATCAGGAATACATTTAAGTGGAGCTAAATAAACTGCCCATTGTTAATATTGGGTCTAAAAGTAAAAAATGCGCTTAAAGCTGAATCCAGAGTTATTTCCCTCTCCAGTCATTTGACTGAGCGGTACGGAAGAGGATTAGGCCACATCAAAAAAACAATTTGGGGAGGTGAAACATTCTGACTTTAATCTCAGAATTCTGACTATCAAGTACTGTATCAGTACCCCCTCCAACGCTGTATCCAGTTCCCTGCATGCATCCACAGTTTAAAGCTGTTATTAAATTCAAATCAAACTATATTTATAGCACTTTTCATACACAAAAGGTAACATAAAGTGCTTTACACACAAACAAATAATAATAATAAAAATACAACCCGGCCCCCCTTCCCAGGTAACAAATAGAGTTAAACATAATTTTGTGATTGATTAAAAAAAACATGAATTCCAACAGAAGTCAATGTAAACAGTAATGCATAAAACAAGAATACAATCATAAAATAAGAATGGATTAAGAATAAAAATAAAAATAAAAAATTAGAATGTTTGGTCCTGAGTTTGCTCTTAAAATTATGAACGCTCTGCCATGAGGTCTTCTGGGAAGTCGTTCCACAGTCGTGGGCCATAATAATAAATCCACGCCTCACCATGGGCCTTTGTTTCCCTATACTGTAGGTATGATTCAAAGGACAGCACCAGAAGACCTGGGTTTCTATGGGGTTTATAAGAAGCAAATCTGATAAATAGCTAGACCATTTAAAGCCAATCAATGATTTGAAATGGATTCTGTTGAACGGGTGTTCATCCTGATATGAAACTCAGACATTCAGTTTGTCAGTTTCTGTTGGCTGTGAAGTGATCCTGCACCCATATTCTATGTTTGGAGTAGGAAGCTCTCGCCCCTGTAGATTTGAAAGCTAGCTGTAAAAAGAATGTTTCACGCTTCTTCACAGAGAACAGCAGCTGTGCTCAGTCAGCCATGATGGATCCCAATGGTGACAAGTTGACACTTTGGGAAAAGAGGAACGTTTTAAACGACTGCAGCAAAATCCACTTCACTCAATACAAACACTCCAACCATTATTTATATCCAATTATTTAGTCAAGTAAATTATGTTATATCTGAGATTTTTAAAGATAGCAAAGAAATGAAAAAATTACAACCATTTCCAGTTTTTGATTTCATTATGCTATTTAATGAATATTCACTTAGGGAGTTCAGTCTATTTGAAGCTAATGCACCATCACTTACAATGGTATCTACACTCTTCTTGTTGTTCTGAATTTCTATCTTTATGGTTTATTGTACTTATAAGTCACTTTGGATAAAAGCTAAATAAAACTAATGTATAACAAAGATTCAAAGCTGTATTTCTCATATGCACTGTAGCTACAGCGTAGTTGTTAGCAGTACGAATCTGAAGTCTCACGCCTCTCCAACAATGCAACACACCATCTACTTAACAATTAAGAAAATACATCAAATAGTGCTTTTGGCCTTCTAAATGCACCGCTGGGTGTAGAGGTCCAGCTCCATCCTGGTGTGCTCTGCTGTTTTCTGCACACTCTGTAGCGTCTTGCCCTTGCCATACCAGGACGTGATGCAGCCAGTCAGGATGCTTTCTATGGTGCACCTGTAGAAGGTCAGGATGCTCTCTATGGTGCACCTGTAGAAGGTCAGGATCCTCTCTATGGTGCACATGTAGAAGGTCAGGATCCTCTCTATGGTGCACCTGTAGAAGGTCAGGATGCTCTCTATGGTGCACCTGTAGAAGGTCAGGATCCTCTCTATGGTGCACCTGTAGAAGGTCAGGATCCTCTCTATGGTGCACCTGTAGAAGGTCAGGATGCTCTCTATGGTGCACCTGGTCAGGATGCTCTCTATGGTGCACTTGTAGAAGTTGCAGAGTATCCTGGAGTCCATGTTGAACCTCCGCAGCCTGCAGAGGAAGAAGAGCTGCTGTGGTGACAGTGTTTGTGTGATGAGTCCATGTCAGGTCCTCAGTGAGTAACACTCATTGACTGTTCTCACCTCACATTATTGGGATGTTCATGAATATGTTTTGTGTGTCTGACAGCGGATCCAGACAGTGAGTGCTGTGGATGCAGATGAACCGTCGACGGGACACAAGTTTTTCTTCAGTCTGGCTCCTGAGGGGACGCACCGTAGCAACTTCACCGTCCGAGACAACGGAGGTAGCCAGCACCTGACAGATGCTTATTCATTACACACATTTCATACAAGTGCCTCAAGTAATGATATAAAGTTGTAATGATGCAACAAGCATTAAATGTTAAACACGTAGATCATGACAAAAGGTGCAGTTTTAAGTTTTTGGTAAAAACATATTCGATGGATATGACTCTTTTGTGAATTAGATATGCAGGTACCACCAGCCGCTGGTTAGCTTAGCTTAGCTGAGCTAAGCATAAAGACTAGAAACAGCTAGGCTGGCTCTGTCCAAAGCTAAAGGCCCTGTCACACTGTCCCGAAATTGACACCCGATGGACACACGATAAAGGAAATGTTCAAATTCGGCTGTGATCGTAGCAACATCGGGCCATTCGTGAGGGCATCTTAAGCCATCGTATGATCGCTGGTGGAGTTTCTCAGGCTCCGGCAGCAACTTCGTGAGCGGCAACTTCGTAAAGCACTCGTGAGGGCATCTTGTCAAATCGTGTCATCTTCGTGTTATCATCGGTGCATTCACCCTCACTCTGATCGGGGCGAATGCCCGATGGCACCGATGATAACAAGATGCCCTCACGATGGCCTTACGAAGGGCACAATTGACACACGAATTCAACACGAAAATGAACCTTCGCAAGGTCCTTCGGCAATTTTTTGGCATGCCAAAGATTTTGCCACCGCTCACGAAGCTGCTGCCGGAGCCTGAGAAACTCCACCGGCGGTCATACGATGGCTTAAGATGCCCACACGAATGGCCCGATGTTGCTACGATCACAGCCGAATTTGAACATCTCCTTTATCGTGTGTCCATCGGGTTGTTTTATTGCACAACAAAATCATGTACATATATTATGTAAATAACCCAATTTGTGTTCTGTGAAACTAAAAAGGATATAATATATTATTTTGAAGGACAGTTGACAGGAAGTTGTTGTTGTTATGGAAACAACATTACGGAGAAAACGTAATATTTTCTACATATAACGACGGATAAAGTAAAGAACAAAGTCTGAAGATATCAGTACAGTATCATAGTACTGTAACATAATTGTTTTTGTTACTTTCATTGCAGTTGTATGTCTTAAATGTAATGTAAATGTTGCCTTCGTGTGTGGTTCGGGGCCATCTTCGTGCGAAATTCACAATTCCATATTCGTGTGTCCATCGGGTGTCAATTTCGGGACAGTGTGACAGGGGCTTTAACAGAATGCACCTAGCAGCCCCTCTAAAGCCCACCAACAGCTTGCATCTGCTGAGTTACTATGGAGATGTTGTGTGGCGGACTATTATTAGTTCAGTGAGTCTTGTTGTCCCTGTGAAGTCACATCAATCGACCAGCAGTGTTTCCACAGACAGACACGCTTAGGGCTCTGCAGGAAAGTGAAACAAATTAAAAACAAAAGTTTGAACCGGTCTTGTGGAGGATTGTTGAATAAATACATACATGACAAACAGAACCTATTTCTCAATAAACAAACTAAATAAAACACATCATTATAAATCTCATAATTGAATCTGTTTGTTACCATGATGTTCAAAAATGGGGGTCAATTTCGTGGATCAGCTTAAATCCTGCATTTGAATGTTCCTCTGAATGACTCAAATACACCCTCCAGCTGCATGTGGGCTGTCTGTTGCTGAGTAACTCTTGATTCAACTGAGATTTAAATGACAATGACTTTTGAAAGTGACTGTAATGGCTTCCAAGCGTTCCACTATGGAGCAGGGTCGACAACAAGCAGTCCAAAATAATAAGCAGCCACAGGACTTAAGTCATAAATACGTTTTTTATTAACAAAAAAATCTCACCTTGGAAAAACTCTCAAAATTACAAAATAAAAAACACTTACTTGTGCTCTTAGTTGTTTCGCTTTGAATGTATTCTCTTAATGTTGTTGTTGATTTAAACTCTTAATTAAGTCTCTATTATATTTCGCTCTTAATTGGCCGTCTTATTTGCACTCTTTAACTCAATATTGCTAAGAATTAGCTTCTTTTCTGCAATGAAATGTTGAGTGTTATCAAGCAACATAATCAACAGAGATTTGATATTGTAAAACTTAATTTGACTCGGACAACATTCGGAAAAAGAAGGAAAATAAAACATCAGAGCATCCCGTGGCGCATTCTATTTATACATATTGTTTCTCTGAACCAGCCCTGCTTGTTAGTTTCTTTGGAATTGTGAACAGATGCATCCACTAAGATATAATCAGGGACTTCTACCTTGTTGGATTTGTTACCACCTGTGTTTGTATTGGCTGGCTGCTGTGCACTGCATGTGTGCTCCAATCATTTCTCTCTCTCCTGCTCAGACAACACTGCTGGCATCCTGACACGTAGAGCCAGCTACAGCCGCCTCCACCAGAGTGTCTACCTGGTCCCCGTGGTGATCACAGACGGCGACTACCCCATGCAGAGCAGCACCGGCACCCTCACGGTGAGGGTGTGCACCTGCGACCGTGAAGGCAACATGGAGCTGTGTAACGCCGAGGCCCTGAGCAGCTCCCCGGGCCTCAGCACCGGAGCGCTCATCGCCATCCTCCTGTGCGCCATCATACTGCTGAGTGAGTACGGGAAATACAGCCAGACATGCTCCACAGGGAGGGCGAGGAAATGTTAGTGGAGGTGTCAGTGGCATGTTGTGTTATTGCAGGGAACTCTTTCTTTCCTGGAATTGATCCACTCCACAAGGAGTGGACTTCCTGTGGACAAGACAAGAAACAAGTTAACAGACATTTAATACAAGGTTAAAATCACCACATGTACAATACCATTTCAAGTTCATTTTATTTTGGGATTGACCGGTGCACCAAAAAATGCTTTAGTCTAACTTTATTAAATTGTCCTGTTCAGTTTGGGTCATAAATAATGTTAAAGAGGCCCTATTATGCTCTTTTCCTTTCCTCTAGTGTGCTACAGGTTTGTGTGCATGTAAATGTCTGCAAAGGCTACAATCCCTGTGTTCCCTCCAGAGGGAGTTTCTCTCCTAAACACACCGTACATACATTCATACATATTATTTTTTGTAAATGACCATTAGCTTATAGCAATGTAAAACATAACTTATTTTTCAATTGCAGAACATGAAAAATATATGAAAAGTCTTAAACAATATTAAAAACTAATGGAACCGAAACTTAAAATAAGCATTCCCAAATGTCCAATAGTAAAGATGAACAATCCCCCTCCCCACTATATTTATTTCCATCCCTTCTCAGGACTGCTGTTAAAGTTCAATAAATCACAAATCCTATTTCAACTGTCATTTCCAAATACAGAAATACCGTTTGCCATAATCACAAGTCATTGGGGACATGTCTTATGCTCTCCAGTATTGTATTTAGATTGTAAGATGATAATATTAAAGGGGGGGAAACTAACTCTCTTAAAAATAGCAGCAAATCAATTGTGACAGAAATGAGGTGAAGTGTATGCTCACACATTATGTGGGATCGCACTGATCGCCCATTGCTGTTCCATTTGGACTGAATGAAAACACAAGCAGCCGCCGGCCATTCTCATTTGCTGTGATGGAAAGCAGTGTTGCTTGGGAGTGTGCCGCTGCATCAGAATCAAACTTCACATGGAAATGAATGCATCTCATCTGCCACCACATCCCCACTTATCCTCTTATTCATGCAGCGGTCACAGTCCAGCGGGCTGCTGGCAAAATGAATACATATTTATGCTTCTGAAAGTGCAGTCATCGCAGGCTTAGTGGACACACACCGGAGACGCTGGAAGTCAATCAGAGTTTGGGAGAAAAAGTCTGTTTCGTTCTTTTCTGACTCATTTGAATGGCCAGGATTACTCCTATATCTAAAAGTTATCAACAACATTTCACTTTCAGAATGTTCTACACATACTGTTTGTCAAAGCAAACACAGGAAGTCATTAAAACTGCTGGGAGGGAGATGGAGCGAGGCAGCACACGGGGAGGGAATGACGACATGACCACTTTACCATACAGGAGTTCATGATACAGATACACACATTTCATACAGGAGATTAACTCAATACACACACTCTGTAAGTCAGCCGGCTCCTCAGGGAGTCACTAGATGACATTTAAGAATGTAAATTAATAATGTGGCACACCTTAAATATTAAGAACAACCTCCAGTTAGCAGATCTATTTTCTGTTATTCAGGAGAGAACTAAATTAGACGACTCAGCACTATAAGATACAATATGATCATTTATGATACACTGCAACACAAAACGATACTTTGTGATGCAATACATCTCAGTGTAATAAATACCGTATGATGAGGTATTATACAGTTTGCTTATACAAGACAACATGATATAATACTATTTCAAATGTGTAAAAAAAGTGTAATCAGTAAACTTATCTGAGTCTCAGAACAAAAAGTAATGTAACCTCATTACTTTCTTGTGGATTACATCGATATCAAATGCAATGCAAATAAATACAAGAGAAATATATACCATCAAGATTGTTTTACTTCAGTGTATTATGTAAGACAACAGAACAATGTGACCTTATAAACGCAGAAACCAAGATATTTAGGATCAAAACAGATTGTATTGATAGGAAAAGCTGTCTTTCATTCAGCATGTTCAGGCAGCAGCCGATACACCAACACTGAAACACATGAGCACATGCTGCAGTTCAAAACAGCAGAAATAAAATCAGAGCTGACAGAAAATGCTCCGTTTTAGTTGAATACACAGCAGATTCAGGCAATAGGCGTTACCTAACCTGTTTTATATCCTGAATATGTAATCCTTTTACATTAAATCTTTATTTCTGTTTTGCATTCCATTTGATATTGATGTAATCCAAAGTAACGGAAAGTCATCAGGTTATATTATATTGTGATACTCATGTTAGGTTACTGATTTAAAATGTTGTATTGGTAATTATAACAGCATACATTTTTAAAGTAGTCCTCCCAACCTTGTTGCACAAACAAATCCTTCACCTTTTTATGTGTGAACACTTATAAGAAAATGTGTGATAACGCATGTAAATGTCCCAAAAATAATAAGTGTATCGAGATGTAGAAAGAAGAGCAAATGATGAAGCCAGTCTCAGTGTGGTTCCTTAGAGAAATAACCTTGTGGAATTATATTTACCATGGTAATCAAAATACAGCCTTAAGCTTTAGTATTTTTAGCAGTGCTGATATGCATATGAATGTAATCATCATAACCTCAATCAGGATATCGTTTAGATCTCGTTTTATCCTCTGTACACACTGTACATGTACTTTATCCAATACAGCTCTGTATTTCTATTTCCACTTACAGTGGTTCTCTCAGTATGTGGAGTTCTCTCATCTCACGCTCTGTGCAGACACTTCCAATACAAACGCTGTGCCTCTGTGTAGCATTATTGGATATTTCAGTTCCCTGACCTTAACTCCGCCTCTGCTCTTTCTTGCTGCCACTGTGCTCAGACTTGATTTAAATTCAAACTGGCCTACATGAGCTTAGCCAATCAAATGTTCTGCATGATTATTTATGGCTGAGCCCTCTCTGAAATCAAAGGCTCCGTCCTGTGTGCCCGTAGCTGGCCAGAGCAGCCCATCTGCACTCAGAAGATATTCCTCACCAAGTTCATTGCTTTGATTTAGGAATCTGGCAACATCTCCAAAAAAGGAAATTCAACACTAGCAGTCACACAATCACTGGCTGAAAACAAGAGAATGCTTAGTGACATTTTTACCCACGCAGTCTATTTCTGTTTGTTATATATATATTCGACAGGATGATATTCACAGGTTTGTTATGACCTGGCTCAGTGGCGGTTCTAGACCAATTTGACTGGGGGGGCCACTGGGGGGCCAGTTATTTTCTGAGGGGGGCACAATAAATGCAGGACGAAAAAGAGAACTAGACAGTATGAAGTAATTGCGCATAAGAAAACAATGCAATACAGTTATTGGTATTTGTCAGAGGTGGGGACTCGAGTCACATGACTTGACTCGAGTCAGACTCGAGTCGCATATTTTTTGACTTGAGACTTGCTTGACTAACATTGAACATTGACTAACATCGACTTGACTTTGACTTGGTATTCATGACTTGAGTCTTGACTTAAGCTTGAGACAGATGACTTGAAAGGACTTGACTGTTTAAAATTAAATATTGGCGTTTGTTTTTGTAGTGAGATATTACGTTTAGTTTTTTCGAAAAACGTGATTATAGCGCCGTGCGTGCAAACCTGGCAACCCACTAGAAGGCAGGAGTATCAGTTAACATGGCAGCGGCTAGCTTTACTCCACAAATAGTGAAGTTTGGATTCAAGGATTATGTTGTCGATGACGGTAATAAGAAGAGAACAGCGGTATGCAGAGTCTGCAGCATAAAGATCAGTGACACGACCACCACAACATCCCACTTCATATTCGTGCACTACAAAGAAACCCACAGAGAAAGGTACGTGCATGTGTTGTGTTAGCTAGAAAGCTAACGTTAAGTTTAAGCTACGTAGACTTGGTTTCACAATCGATTAAGCAAAGAGAAGACAAAACGATAAATGAACACTAGAACCGCCAAGGGATTCATTTGACTAACCCTGATACTGACGGGCTGGTCCAGGAGGGAGAGAGAGAGAGAGAGAGAGAGATGAGAGGAGAGAAGAGGAGAGAGAGAAAGAGGAGAAAGAGAGGAGGAGAGAGAGGAGAGAGAGAGAGAGATCGCGCAGCGCGCTCTAGTCGGCTCTCTTGCTCGCGCTCTGATTGCCTTCTGCGCTCTCTCTATCGCCTCTCTCGAGAATCCTGCCTTCCATCAGCGACCATGCCGCGTTTATTTCCCTGTGTTATTATCAGAAGTTACTGGAAACTTTTGAATAATGTAGTTCATCTACTTTTAGTAGTTTGTTTAAATGTTTTAATTATGTTGTTTTTGTTTGTAGAAGTGCATCATTCCTTGATTTATTGTTACATGCATCTGAACCTTTTGATCTGTTATGATCATCCACACTCTGCAGCTTTGGGGAAAGAGCCTTCTCAGTGGCAGCTCCTAGGCTCTGGAACCCCCTCCTTCAAGATCTCCGTGACTCTGAGTCCCTCACAGTCTTTCAGTCCCGCCTCAAAACACATCTTTTCAACTCTGTCTACCCATAAGCCCCCCCCCTCTCAATCAACTTCCTCTTGACTGCCTTTTTATTTATTTATTATTTATTTTACTATACTTACTTGTTTGCCTGTCCTTGTTTGTCTACCCTCCCTCATACTGTAAAGCGTCTTTGAGTTGTGAAAAGCGCTATATAAATAAAATGCATTATTATTATTATGATGATAAACTGAAGCAATTTCTAAATTAAACCCAATTAAGTGAGTTTTAAAATCGTCCTACTTAGTTTATAAGGAAATTATTGAGGAACAAATTAAATGATTTGAAAATGATATCTATGTAGGTGCTGATGCTGTTGGCGGTTCTAGTATTAACAGAAATTTAAATAAAATATGTGTAATGGAAAATGCCATATATGATTTTCTTACCTGGAATTCTGCCTTTTTGAACAGACTTTTTGAGTCCTAGCTATATTGTCTGCAGTTCTAGGGTTAATATGAATCTAATATGATTGTCA